GATGTATTTAGGACCAATTATTATGCAAAGGATCAAACTTGGCATTGTATGTATTGCTAAATCTCCATAACGAGCCTATGAGCTAGGTATTAATTTACCTCCATTTCACAGAGGAAGTAACAGGCTCAGAGCATTTCATTTCTCCTAGCATCACGAAGCAGTTAGAAAGTGGAAAGCCCGGATTCTGACTCAGTTCTTACACCAAAGTCCATCATGTAATTTCAGTACTGCTTTTCTTACTCTATATGAGATTGTATTATTTGGGACGTTTTAAGTGTCTGTATTAATACTTAAGTTCATGCAGTGTTAATACTGGCTAACGTGTAATAGATTTGAGCACAGCTGGTTTATGTTTTCTTTCAGCTTCAGTAGAAAATAGTTCATTCCATTATGTACACATATAAAAAAATTACATTCCTCAAAATGTTCAGGAGGTACAAAAAGAATCCTCTGGATTATTGAAAACCTAACATAAGATCTAAACCAAATAGTATTGACTCTTCATTTTTTCCTACAAAACTAAGATAGAAAAGAAGACTAAACTATATAAGAAATAGCAAGTGTCAGCTTTTATTTAACTTTGTATTATGAGCTTTGCAGGTATCTCATTTAATTTGCATAGGCTCTTTTGTGCGTATTAGAGGAGAGAGCTGCCTCCTCTGTCATGTCCCATTTTGTGTCCTTGGCACAAGGAGATAAATCACTGTCTCTAGAGGTTGTAGCCTCCAACTCTTTTCTGTGCAATTAAAGTATAGAAAAGTATTAGCACCTTCTGCTGCATGCCAAAGAGAATTCTCTGTTAATTGGCCTTCTTCGATAGACCACACTTACAAATATGTCACTCACTACTAATAATGAAAATAATCGGAACTGCCATCCACATATAATGGAGAAAATTGTGTGCCAAGAATTCTGCCTGATATTTTATAAACTGTTAGTAATTCTCACTAAACTGAAGAACAGCATCATTTTCCTTTTTACACAGATGAGGAAACTGAGGACACACATTTAGTAAATAATAGAACAAGGATTCAAATGCAGGTTGTCTGACTCCAAAGCTGTGTTCTTACTCTGTTAATTAGTATCCTACACTCCTTACCGCCGTATAGACTAAAGTAAAGAATCTTCCCTTAAGCCCCATAAGGGCCTGGAAAAGGCAAATCTGATACCAGGCCTTATTTGTATTTTATCAGTGTAGTTTCATTTTTTTAAAACAATCCCAAAATTTTCTATGTGCCTTTAAAGTAAGCAGATTTCTTTTTTTTGTGAAAAGATTTGTATGCATATCAGAGAAATAGCAAAGAAATCTAGAATAGGCATGCTTAGTGTAATTTTGAAACCTTTTTCATTAAATGTGGATTTTGGTATTTCTGTCTGTATTTTTCCTACCTGTGCAAACATAAATCTGTGTTTTATAAAAATGTATAGCCATTTATACCAGTAGATATGCTTATACATGTTTACTAAAGTAGCAGTATGCATTACTTTCTTTGGTAATTATGTATTCTCATGCTTAAAAAAAATTGTATAGTGATTTAAATTTCACAGATTACTTTCACATTCATAAGGTTGAGTGACTAGGCACTATTACACCATTTAACATACATGCAAACTGAGCCCCTACTCACATGACTAGTAAGTGAAAAAGCAGGCACATACGGTATGAATAGACAGTCCACAGAAAAATATGTAAAAATGGCCCTCAAACATATTTTTTTAAAGTTCATACTCATAATTAGAGAAATGCAAATTAAACCAATGCTGAAGAATCATTTTTCACCTATCACAATGACAAAAATTTTTAAGTAGGACAACATGTTTTAAAAGTTAGTGAGAATTTGGGAAAGCCAGTAATTTCATAGATTGCTGGAGGGAATGCAAATTGGTATAACCCTTCTAGGGGGAAATACCAAAGAATTTATACATGTATTTACCTTTTGACCTAGCAAGTCCACTTCTAGGAATCTAGAATCTATTGTAGAAAGTATACCTCCTTACAATATATAGATGTATATGAATTCATGGGTTAGTGTGCATACTATGTTTTGTAGATCTATCCACTAAGAGATCCAAGAAACAATGACACCCACATTGTAATGAGCACACATAGCCCTCAGATCTTGATTTCTAAACACCATTCCCCAATAAAAGGAATTAAAGCTCCTTGGAGAAACGGTTGATTTCAGGGCTAGAGCAGGGAAGATACAAGCTAAGCTTGGAGCATCTTGTGGTGCCAGAAGGTAAGGAAATGCTCAAAAAAAAAGATGAAAACTTGTTTAAAGAATGTACAAGCCAACCTAAAGTTTCTCCTAGTTGCCAAAACTGGAACATTTTGACCAACAAAATAAATAATAATGGTATCAGATTTTTAGTCCTTAAAATAAAATAAATATCCATGAATCCATAATGATATAAAAAATAAGTGGGAAAGAAGGGATGGCTCTTCCTTACAGAAGAATTCCAATTAATAAATGTAGACAGAAAGATGGTAATAAAAAATCACCATTAGATGAGTACCATTTAGTAATTGTTGCAAACAAGGTCCATTGAGGGATGCTAAAATTAAAAGATACAATTTTGAGGAACAACAGGATATTTACATAGTTTTGGGGCTGTTGTAATGTGAAGGCTTGCCCTGGGGTGTGGAGGAGCTGCTTCCAACATCGCTCACAGACATTGTGGTTGATTGGAGGCCTCACTTCCCCTATAGAAGGCTGCTGGTGGGCCCCATGACAATGACATTGTCCTCCAGAGCGAGTGATCCAAGAGGGAGAGCAGAGAGGAAGCCAGAATGCCTTTCATGACTTAGTCTCTGAAATTGCACATCAATTTTGCCTATTCTGTTTGTTCGATATTTTTGAACCACCACATTGAGAAAGGGCATCTCTAGTCAGTAGCCCAGTAATTCTTTTTTTTCCCTAAGAGTTGCCACTTACCCTTTCACTGCCTGTTTCCAGTGCTTCCAGTATTGGTTCCTTTTTGTAACCTATTCCAGCACAGGTCCTGGGCAGGATTATTGTGATGATTGTCAGTGGAAAGGAGGAGGTAATGTGAACCATTCCCTGTGCTCTCCCATGGGGACTGATTCCTTACCTCAGTCTTACATTCCTCTCTCCCACTTTCTGTAACAAACTATCTGTGAACCCATAGGACTATACAAGGCTCTCTAAGAGCAATGATCATTTTTCATGTCTGTCTTCATATATACTATATCATATTCATATGTGTTTCCCCAAGGCCTACCACAGTGTCTAAAAAGTTCTTACTACTCTGATGGACAGTGACTGTAATGGGGTGTGCGGGGGTCAGGGACTTGGTGAAGGGGGGAGCCTAGTAAACATAATGTTCCTCACGTAATTGTAGATTAATGATAACAACAGCAACAAAAAGTCTTTAATGGGTATATGGGTTTTCTTTTGAAATGTAAATACTCTTAAGAACCTTCTAATTTAGCTTTCTGGACCTTTGTCTTTCCTAAACTGAAGAAGTCCAGGCAGAAAAGATCTCCTTCAGCCTCTTGCCTATTTCCTATTTTCACAAGCAGAACCTCTGGAAAACTTTTCAAAGATTCTCTTCTTGCTTCAGGTTGCAGAGGGTTAGCAAGGCTGCTGAGGGCTCTAGTCTGTGACAATGAAGACACACACACAAAAAAACAATGAGAAAAAGTAACCCCATGAATGCCAGGAGTGGAGGAAGGGAAAGCTGGTTGAACATTATTGGGCACAGAAAACAGGAAGGGATGACCGCAATGCTTGGAAGGATCTCTCCTGCCTATGAGGTATATGGGTTTTCTTTTGAAATGTAAATACTCTTAAGAACCTTCTAATTTAGCTTTCTGGACCTTTGTCTTTCCTAAACTGAAGAAGTCCAGGCAGAAAAGATCTCCTTCAGCCTCTTGCCTATTTCCTATTTTCACAAGCAGAACTCTGGAAAACTTTTCAAAGATTCTCTTCTTGCTTCAGGTTGCAGAGGGTTAGCAAGGCTGCTGAGGGCTCTAGTCTGTGACAATGAAGACACACACACAAAAAAACAATGAGAAAAAGTAACCCCATGAATGCCAGGAGTGGAGGAAGGGAAAGCTGGTTGAACATTATTGGGCACAGAAAACAGGAAGGGATGACCGCAATGCTTGGAAGGATCTCTCCTGCCTATGTTGGCCAGAGATGGCCTTCAGTGCCTGGTTTCCTAGCTGAATCCTCCCTCTGGTCTTTGCTCCCCATTGTCCCGCTACTTCTAGAAAACACTGTATTCTCCCTCTTGCTGGCATACCAGTTCCTGTTGCAGACCCTTCTTTCTGGGCCCCTTTCTCACCTCTTCCCACTCCTAGGACGTACCCACTCCAGTCTGCCCTCACTGGACAGGCTGCAGGTCTTGTTCTCCTCACCTTCTCACCTCACTAGGACACCAGATTTGGGGTTTCTGTTGCTTCTTCCTCCACTTAAACCAAAGGCAGTTTAATCCATTCTCTCATCTGCCTGGCTCCTGTGATCCCAGCCCACTGGGGCCTGATCCTAGCTGCCTGGCACCCCTCTTCCCATGTTTCTGACCTGGGGAGGTGAGACAGTAAATCCTGATATTGAGGAGGAACTAGGTTTGTTCAGACTAACCTACCAGCTTAGTTTGTATAACATTTTTCCTATGGAGAAAAATAACACTAAATAAATGACCTCCAACAGACTTTGCTCTTGAATTAAAATTGTTTATAAAATGTCAGAATTTTTATGTGGGAATTTAATAATATTTTATTCCCAGTTATCTCATTTTACAGTTTAAGAAATCAAGTCCAAGTGGGTTAAGTAATTTTTCTACAGTTGTGTTTTCTGTTGCAAAATCTAATATTGCAGCTGACAGAAGTTCACATTCAGAATGAAATCGACAACAATTTTTCTTCTAGAATAGAAATTTTTGAATTATTCTAATATTGTGTATTAAATATTGTATTTCACATATATATGACACACATATTTAAAGGAATTATAGTACTTTTCTTTCTAATCCAGATTTAGGTCGATCTCGAGAGCTGCAATATGTGTACGTGGATAACAACATTCACCTAAAAGGCTTGCCATCCTATCTGTATAATAAAGTCATCGGGTGCAATGGGTAAGGCTACATATTTCATATTTATGCTATAGCTCAACTCTTTTGCTAGCTTTGTTTCCATTTCATTATTTGGTCCTGACAGAACTTAGAAATAGATGAACTACTTTTGATTATCTGTTCAATTTTGTCTATGTCCTTAATATGCTAAGCCAAAAGCTAAGAATATTAGGCGAGCAATTGAGAGTGTTGTACTTTGAGTTCAGTTAGTAAGTGTGCGTTCAGTCAGTAAGCTGTGTATTATTTTCCAGTCAAAAGGAAAATGAAGCTGTGCATAGCATTATGGACTTAGTAGGCACAGAAACTGGAGAAATCTGCATTCTATTGCAGCGGTAGTTTTACTACAGTGATATCCTAGTATCTAGACCTTTACCGTTTGCAAGTATTTAGAGCTCAACATTTGAAATAGGCCCTCAATTCAAATCATGATTCTAGCAACCAAAACAGATGTTTCAGTTAATGAGAAAAGATAGACTTTTATTTTCAGAGCAGCAAACAATCTTTCCTTCTCACTCAGGCTTTTTCAAAGATGGCCTCAGCTTTTCCTTCTACAACAGTGGGACAGAAACACCTTGAAGTGGTTCCCAGAGTGGCATGGAATTAACACAGGACAGCTCAGCTATCAGAACCTGCTTTTGACTAGCCTCACTTTCCTTACTTAATCAGCCAAAGGGTACCAGGAACACCTCTGAGGCCACTTAGCCAGCATGTTTGACTCTGTCCCTGTAATGCCCAACCCCCTGCATAACCCGGCTCATACCACATGTAGTTCTAGCAAGAGAAGGGACGACGATAAGCTTGTACATAGAGGACAGCCATTGTCCTTTGGCATAGCTCCAGGGGGTGGGAACCGAGCAGTGATTGCTCCAGAGAGGGCAATCCTAGGAGTAGTGGCCTTCCCTTAGGAGAAATTAGTGGTTATCTCAGAAGAGCCCTAGATGAGTTCAGTGCCTGTATAGGCTGATGAAATACAATCGAATGTGTGGTGGTGTTTTTCGCTCGGTGATTTTTCTACGGCTGAATGTGACAGCTGTGATACTACTCAGCCATTAATCCTAATGATCTTAAAGGATCTGTAATATAGCCTAATTCTTCCAAGTGGCGAGTAAAACACTCCAATCACCAAGATACATGGAATGATGCAAGCAAGCCCCGAAGCCAAAGGCAGCTTTCCTCGGCACCAGAGCCTTCAGAGACCGCACTGAAGTGTAATTTAAGTCTCTACCACAATTAAGGAATCACTTTTACTTAAGATAAAAAGCCTCTGCTTTGGTGTGTAGACACAGATATTATTGACTGCCAGAAAGTTCTGTTGTGCTGAGTAGAGAGATATTTTTTAATCTTTCACTTGGTATCTGGTAGCAGAGGTAGTGAATCTTAAGAGAGCTCAAGTCTTTGAGACTATAAATAGTAGGCCAAAATATGCAAACTATTAGCTAGTAGTCTACATGTTTTATTATTATTAACACCTTCCTTTGATAGTAGTAATAAGAAAATAAATAAAACTATTACTTAAAGGACAGTATCAAACAGTTTTCTAATATTAGTAGTTTTTAGAGTGTAGGCAGTCCAACTTATAAATGGGCTGTGATCCAGGAGGCACTCCTAGTCAGCTGTTCTAACTCGGAATGCATCTCTCATGGAAGCAGTTCTGGTGGTTGTATTCCCAGCCAGCTCATTGAAAGACCATTTAGCCCATTTTGGACCCCCAAATGGTACTTATTTACACAATATTTTATGGCAAAATGTATTCAGAATTCAAATAGATGGTGACTGCTGAAGCCTTGGTAACAGAATGAAGGGGCCTCTTCTTTTGTGAATAAGCAAAGGGACTCCGCCTGCTCCAAGTCAAAGTGGAGATGCTGTGGGCAAAGGAGGGCCTAGGAGCAGGACAAAGCTCTGAGGCATTTCCAATACAAAGAGTAAAAGGGTATCTGAGGCCTTAGAAAGCACACTTTTGGATTCTGAACAGGGATCTTGGTTCGTTGTTCATTCAATGACTGTTTATTGAGCAACTACTCTGTTCACTATGCTAGACAATGGCCATACATTGATGAGCAAAATGATTCCATACCTGCCCTATTAACCTGGACCTTATAATCTGGCCAGGGATCCAAACGAACAATAAATACTTGAACAAACTTTGTTCTGATTCTCTTTAAGGCAGTAGGAGTTAAGCTGAGAACATAAGGATCAGCACACTTGTTCTTCCTGCGTCCAGCCAGCTGTGGGCCCAGATATGAGAACACGTAGCCTCTGCTGCACTCACTCTACTGTCTCTGAGACAGTGTGATGACCCTTTTTGGGTTGAGAGACTAGGAGAGTTAGAGCAACAATGAGCAAAGGGAACACAGCTTTAGGCAACTGTGGCACAATATGCTAAAGTCTGATATATGTCTGATTCACACTGCAGAAGGAAAATCGAGAACTAGATATAAAATCTATAAACAGGTATAAAAATGACAAGTGTTGTACAGTTTACAAAATCTCAGAAGCTCCACAAAATTATCTTCGATATTCATGGACATGTGAATGAAGACAGTACGTCCTTATTATATATGCTCTGTTATTTGCCAGATAATTATTGATAGCAATAATAGCATTAGCTTACAAGTTGGCACTGTGCTAAGAACTATGCAAAAGATCATTTAAATGTTTATTCTAATATACAAAAGTAAATGTAATACAAAAAATAAATACCCCAGGAAAGGCAGAGTGATGGAAATTTAGAGCATGGAACTATCCTTTATGACCTAGCCTTGAAGTCCCATACTGTCATCTCTGTTATATCCTGTGCGTTACGCGAGTCCACCCCCATAGTTGTGAGGAGACCACATCAGGGGGTGCATGGCAGGAGAGGGTCACAGGAGCCTCGTGGATGCTGGCTCGTACTGCTTTCTTGCATCCACTGCTTTTTGCTAGCCTCATGGAAAAGTATGATATTTATTTTGTCTGGGTTTTTCTTATTGTTACTACAGAAGTAAATGTCTCCAGTTCTTCTACATTTTACCCAGAAAGAGAAGTCTCTTCCATGTTAGAATTCTAGAGAGTGGTAATTGGCACATTTGTTTACCCAGGAGAACCTAAAGGTAAAAGTGATCCTATACCAGAATTATTCTTTCAGTTGTTTGGTTACATGAGAAAAAGAAAACCAAGCCTGCTTTGCTTTTTCTTATGTACATAAGTAATTATAACTGGATTTGGCTACAGACTGGTTAAATTACTTGATTAAATGGTTTATTAATGTAACCACCCAAGGTAACAGAATTGTTCATATGAGAAATATGTTCCAGTTCTGAATTAAACCAGTAGACTAGAAAATACCCTTTAGATCACTTTAAATGTGTCTGAATCACTTCAATGGACTAAATATCCTTGAGTCCATTTTCAGGTGGGGGTTGCCTTCACACCCAAGACAAGAAGAACCACATCTCTCTGAGGCAGGCACAAAGCAGCCTACCTACCGGTAAAAAAACTGAGACCGAGCTTGTAATTTGATTGCAACTAGGTAATTAATTGCTTTTTTAAAATAAAAATATTAAAACGCCTTATAAGTTTTAGAGGAACTTTACAGTTCTCCACAATGTAACTTATACAATGTCTAGTGTTGTATAAATTTATATAAAATTATGTAACAAAATTATAACATGTAAAGAATAAGGGAATCATTATTATTTAAAATTATGGAACATGTGAAGAATAAGGAAAATGTGACCTGTTCTCAAGGCAAAGACAATCAAGAGACCAACCTGAAATGACCCAGAATATTGGAATTAACAGACAAGGATTATAAAGCAACTATTCTCAATGAAGTAAGGAAAAATAAGTTTGCAGTGAATGGAAAAACCAGAAAAATAGAAACTATCAAAAGGAAACGTAGAAATTCTAGAGCTGAAAAATACAATATCAGAAATAAAAACTTTACTCAATGGCTTAACAACAGAGGAGAAGTCAATGAACTTGGAGGTAGATCAATAGAAAGATTCAGTCTGAAGAACACAGAGAAAAAAGATTGAAAGCAAAAGTGGATGCAGCCTCGGGACCTGCCAGACCACCTAAAAAGCCTGATATATGTATAGTTGGCATCCCAGAAGGAGAACAAGGAGAGAATAGAGCAACAACAGCAAAAATGTTTAAAAAATCATGTCCGGAAATTTCCCAAATAGGATGAAAGACATGAACGTACCTTTCCAAGAAGCTCAACAAACCCTAAGCAGTATAAATTCCAAAGAAAACCAAGCTGCTGAACCCTGAAGATAAAAAAGAAAATTTTGAAAGCGACCAGAGAAAAATGGCAAATTATGTACAAAGGAGTAGTTCAAAAGACTGTTACCTTCTCATCAGAAATTTTGAAGGCCAGAAGACAGTGGAATAACATTTAAAAAATGCTAAAGAAAAAAATGGTCTACCGAGCAACCACCAAAAATACCTTTCAAGAAAGCAAAATAAATACATTCTTAGGTGTAACAAAGCTAAGCCTTAAAGTCAGCCCTGCCAAGCTGACAGACCCTTTTTCCAGACCAAGGCTCATTCCATCTGGGTGGCATAGTTTCTTTGCCTCTCCAGATCCACTTTTCTCCTTTCCTTGTCCTGTTACTTTAAGCTGAAAAGTTTTTTTTGGCTAAAAAGGAAGGTGAATCCGGTAGCAGCACCCACAAAGCATGTGGACAACATAATTTACTTGCTGAAGAGTGAAAGATAGTTATTTGTATGCTTTTGGTAAGGGAATTCAAATATTCTTTACTTTGTTAGGTGGAATTGTCAGTTTGAAAAATGCGGGTGAATTGATTTGCTAAATCACAGACATGTTTTGGAGCAAAATCTCCGTGACAAAATGGTGTTACTATTCATTTAACTTGTTTAGGGTTAAATGTTAAGGGGCAGCTCTGAAGACATTGAGTTGAAAGGAAATTGTGTAATAATTATAATTGTGTAATAATTATAATTAAGCCAAAGGTACTAACATTTGTAACAGATTTCAACTCATTTTAATAACTCACTAA